ATCCCTTTCTCAGCCGTGTTAATTACTGAAATTAAAGTTAAAGTGCAGCTTTGAAGTGGAACACGCGCGGGTCCTATAAAATTCTCGGAATTGTAAAAGCTATTCGCACGAAAGCTCCGTCGTACGTACACGAATGACGGAATTGCTCGTAAAGAAGGTTCGGGCAGAAGCGGCGAAGCTTCTAGGCACTTTCCTCCCTGCGTTCGATTCGCGTTCCAAGTTTTAAAGGCTGCAGAATCATTATGGCGGTAGAATAGAACGGATATGAAGAGTGTCGTAGAATATAAAACCTCGCAAAACCGGCTCGTAGCCCAGAGGATGGCCGACCTCTTTCGTCCACCGTCTGCAACTTCCTGCGTCGCACCTTTCGTGTCCTACCTTCTTTTTAACTTGACTGGCGGCCACCTCCTGCATTTAACCGAACGTCTCATCGCCGCGTATATCGTATTTTATCATCGCCAAACTAGCCACTTTTATCACGACTAACGATACTATAGGATATATAAGATATGTGGTGGTAGTAAGTTTGGTAACTGTATGACTTATGTCAATATCGTTCAGGCCAACACAAAATCTGTCAGTGTATATGCACGCAGTCATCATTCGTCACTAACTCGTCACAACGGTTCTCTTTCGCGTTGACGACAGTCTTCGACAACGTTGACGACACTTTTGAGTCTGACAATGTCGGCAACGCTAAAGCCTTGCAACTCACTAACAGCTACCTTTTATACCCAGGCTCCGGTATACCTGGCCCGCACATGTCCCATGGTCAAATAGAGCTTCTTAACACTTTGACTGCCACGTTGGTCGTAATGACCAGCCACGATTTCTCCTGTGACGCTATGGTGGTCATTGGTGACAGGAGGGCTTGAACTTCTTACAATTGTAAAAATTCAATGAAAATTGACAGTTAGGGAATTTGGAATATAACCGAAAAATAGAAGATACTTTGAAATGAAAAGTGCCCCATTGAACGATTAAACATTCTTATTAGAACATCGATAAAAAAAATGAGAAGAAATCTTGCACCTAACGATGCACTGTGTTTGCGTGCATATCTTTGAGGGGTAATCTACGAATATTATTATAAACACAGCTTAGAAAATAATCGTAAATGCTGCTTTATAATCGTATAATTGAAGTTACAAGTGTGAACATACCTTGCTATTATATATAGAACGAGCAAATACCGTTTACTAATATCTTCTACACGTTTCAATAATATATTCCGCACGTTTTGCTTACAAAGAAACAACGAAGGCGAATGGTTTGTTGAAATAAACGAAGCCTCGTTACAATATGTCGCTATCGACTGTTACCAAGGTGCCACGGTGGTCACCCGTGACCACCAATGAGATAAACGGTCCATTGGGGAAGAACGTTGTCTCACATCGTCAATTTATTATTATTTCGTCATTGTATGCTTTGAATAATAAAAATACTCCCATGGCGTCCTCGGCGAAACGTGTGATTTCGGCGTGGCAATCAAAGCGTTAATCTTCTTTTCTATCATGTGAATCAACCTTGGGATTTTACGTTCGTCCGTCTGGGTGTACTTTATTCCCCGGTATGTTAGCCGGGAAATTCGAGATATCGCAGCGAGATAGAGGGAATTCCCTTAAGGTCAAATTACGAGCTATCGTTTCCACCATTGTCAAAAGCAAAGAAGGATTTTTCATAGGAAAGTTGTTTGTTTCGACGCGGACTATCGTAGAATCGTGTGTCGAGGTTAACTGTGGATTTCCAATCCCGAAAAGCAATCCGTGCGATGGTAGAGTTTCGAAATTTGTGCAACGACCGTGCGCAAAATGTTTCTAGTCGGTGAATAGTTGGCAACAAAAGTGGTAGTAAAGCGCGGTGGTTGAGTCGGATAATGTCGGTTGCTGGAAAATTTAGCTGGCAGAGGAAACTTCTACTTCGCTTTTCTCCATCTATTCGCGTGAACATTTATTAACCGCGATCACTCGCTTCCTCGCCGCTCGCATCTCTCTTCAATTTCTAACGCGATTTTTATCGCGTTCTTCTTGTTTACTAAGACAACGTCGAACGGTTCTCGTTAACGAACGCGACTAAACGTCGAATTTATAGAGCGCGAAATTTAGCGGAACAACGTAAAGCGGAAAACTTCCGCCGGAACGAGTGGTTCCCACGCGAGGACGATATTAGCTCGCCGATGGAGTCTCGCGGGACTTTCCTTCGCTCGAGCAACGTCCGAGATGCTCTCGTCTCTTCGCTTATCACGTTTCGTTCGACGAGATCGGCCAGTTTGATTATTAAAATGCTCGCTTTAATGCGGTTTCTCCGGAACCTGGAAATGAATTTCTTTCGCCGCAGGCGGACGGATGTTTGCGAGTTGTAATCGAAGTTTCTAATTGTTTCTGGCAAATTCTTGCGTCATTATCGTCGATGAAAATTTATCGTGTAAGAAAGACAGCATGAGAGATCTGCAAAGCGCAACAGCTAATTCTCCCCCAAACCTTCTGGTTTAGTAAACATAAAGTTACATGCTCTATCTACAGGGTGGTTGGTAACTGGTGGTACAAGCGGAAAGGGGGTGATTCTACGCGAAAAAAGAAGTCGAAAATCTAGAATAAAAATTTTTCGTTCGAGGCTTTGTTTTCGAGAAAATCGACTTTGAATTTTCGCTCGGTACGCGTGCGGTACGTTATAACGGATCTCACTGTAGATCGTTGTCTCGATGGAAGAATTTAAAAAATTAAAAAAAAATTTTTATTCTATATTTTCGACTTCTTTTTTCGCGTAGAATCACCCCCTTTCCGCTTGTACCAACGGTTACCAACCACCCTGTATATTCGCCGTTTTAACAGCAGCACGATTTAAGAAAAATGCACCACGAATTGCTTCCTAAGGATCACAACGTGTCCTTGCTCGACGCGCTTCAACGACATCCAAATGATCGAATACTGCCTTTGCATTGATGATATTTTTCACTATATCTTCAAGCAGAAATCAATTTCATCGTCTATGGTCAACTTTTTAGGTCCCTGATGTAACCAGTGCTGTATTTCTTCTAACGTAAGTGTATTAGAATTTGGATTTCTTATCCATCTCTTTGGAATCTCTTTAGAAATATCGCTCCAACTTTCCTTACGTCTCGCGTGTACCGAGAACTACATCCGCCTCTAACGATATTACCACTTTGTTCATCGCAATTGACACTATCGCACACAACACTGTGCGAGTGTTTCAGCTGTCTAAAAGAAATTTCCTACCGGAATTTCGCGGGTATTCGTTTCAGCAGCCAGATTTTTCCCCGAGATGTAGAAACGCACTGAAACGTTTCGGCGCGGCTCGTGAAAGATCCCAATCGCTTTATTCTTTCATAGCGTACGTATTAGGTCGCCCGAAAAGTTTCTTTCGTTTCATAAGATTTATAACATTTCCCGTTTTGTATTATTTTATCGAATTACGTACGATCCATTGTGTTCTATCAAGATAAAAATCAGAACGTTTAACGGATTAAGTTTCACGTTTGTACATGGTAAAGACGCGTTGTTGTAAAAGACGTGTCTGTAAAGGAAAGACACTTTCCGGACAACCTAATACAAACGCCAATACAATTTTAAATATAATACATCGTCGGTGGAAGTATCCGAACACTCGTACAAACATTTCATAAATACGTGGACGTGTGGTGCAACAAATTTTCAAAATGTCATCCTGTCGCTATTTGAAATCGTAGCGTTTCTGTCGTTGCTACGGTTCAGCGAATATTCCATCGTCCTAAAGACGATGTCAGAAAACGAACTGTCAATCGTTAGGAATTAATCAACGTGTGGTAAAAGTGGCGCGAAAAAGTACGATTCTACAGAAATTCTAGAGAAGGAAAAATACGCAGGATGCGACGATAAAATTCTCAAGATCAGCCGAACATAAACGAAAGTTCTGAAACACCGGCACGAACAGGTGTCCGCGGTCTGTGTCGTCGCGACGGTGGGCCGTCCGTGGCGACGTGGCGCGTGCGTATAGCTGGAAAAGCGGTTATATCCAGCAAGAGGACCGCGATCAGGGTTGGACGAAGCACGGGGGGTGAAGCACGCCGCCGGAAAGAAGGGGCGCTGCGAGGAATGAGGGCCAGTGGGCTAGTAGTATCCGCGATAACGTCGCCTCAGTAGATCGTCGGCCGTCGCGCGGCTCCTCTCGCCAACCCTCG